CAGATGTCCATCTGGCACTCCCTAGACAGATAGGCGCCAATGGATGACCATTGATCATGATAGCCAGGCTTAGCTAAGTGCATCCCCCTTTGGGAGCTGACCCTTATCAAAGGAACCTTAAATCAGCCTGCATAAATAGTTTCTCTGTGGCTGCACCACAGAGATGAACAGAGATGGGGCCTCATTTGGGAAAGCTCAGAACACTTAATTCTTTCTTATTAATAAGCCTCGCTGCTACAACTGTATGTAATTTCATTATATCATTTGCATTACTTAACATGTTGTATACACTAACTTAGTTTTACCATTTGTATTATGGAAAAAGCACTGTGAAGTTGATTTGTGATTTGATTATTCTATATGTATCTATATTGGGTGGATTTCTTTCGGAAAAAAGACAAAAGTAAGAAAACAAAGGTACTGTAACAGAAGTTCTTGCATATGGTATTGCACTTAAATGAAAAGGGCTCAAGTAGCTAGAGGTACACAGGGCAAAGATGAAACAAACAGCTCAGCCAACATCAATTTCAGACATACAGTATGACTAACCTTCAGGCATACTGTTGACTTGAACCAAACATGTGAATGCATTTGACTTGTGCCTGGTCTTATCATGACTGCAGCGTGTTCAGGCCACCAGGCTCACCATTAAGTTGACTTTTACTCCCTGGTACTGTATAAGGCCAGACACTGTTTTTTCAATTACCTACAGCCAGCCTGAGTCTTTTCATTTTAATGGTTGAGCTACAATGGGTTTACTTTTTAAGGATAAGTGTGAAATAGGACCTATGTATGCCCTCATCGCATGACTGCTGATGTGGTCTCTTATAATCTCTGATATTCATTACTCACTTACCTTTTTCATCATGATCATCATCCTGGGATGTACAGTATGAAGAGGAAGGACATTGAGTCTTTTTATATCTATTCTTATCTATTATCAATATTCTCATTCATGTATTGAATATTGTCATTGTTATTGTGTTTTTAACCTGTTGGGGATCCAGATTGTAGTCGTTTTCTCTGTTCGGCCATTTTGTCAGATTCCTCACTTTGATTTGAACTGGAGGTTTACCTGTCCATCGAGAGAAGCTGGGGGTGGACCTTGGGGTGTTTAATGTGGCGTTCATAGTGTAGCAGTTAGTCTTGCCTTTGTGTTGAATGTGTCCTTGTCTGTGTGCTTTAATACAACTTGGTTGATGTTAAACAAATACTCTTAAATTTCTTGTGGGAAATTCCCTAAAGAAACTGCAGTTCTTTTATTTTTGTTGAATTTTTCTTTTGTAATATTTTTTCCCTTTTCACCACTTAACAACTACAGTATATAAACTACTGTATGTTGGTTTTCCACTTTATCTTTGTGACTGGATTATTTTTTATGACTTCTGTGACCTAACTACAATGCAATTTGTGGATTTAGTACAGAACTGCATAGTAAATTGCATACTGTCTAGAATAGTTCTGTCTGGGGATCATCCTCAGTTGCCTGCTCGATTGCAAAGAAAATACCCTTTGAACAAAGCTGGCAATCAGCTCTTCCCGTTTGGTACTAAGGACTAAGCAGCAATGTTGTTCTACTAAGTAGGAACTGAAGGGGTCCCTGATTAAAGTATAAATATATTATTTTTTTCAGATGTGTTTGATTCTATTTGAGGGGATCTTGAAGGGTGCCAATAATTTTGGCACCTATGTTTTTCACGTAAAACAGCATTACTTGTTTGCAATTGAACCTTGAAATTCATTTTTTTAAAATAAAGGGACAAGTATTCTCCTAACATATGAGTATTAAGTCTCTGTTATCTATCTTTTTTTACTATGCAATACTTCAAAAGTAGGTCTTATGCACTTTCTGTCGTGCACTGGTGACCTTAACATTTACATGAGCTGTCAGCATTTCTTTGAGCCTGTGCAAACCAAGTTAGAATGCCTCTCAATGAGACCTAATATTTATCAATCAGGCAATGAATCAAGGTCCCAATCTCCTTAATCAGCTGCTATTTAAAGCAGTTCACTGTATCACTGTTCCAACATTGAGCTTGGAGCCATCCATGCAAGCAGAATTTTCACTGTTTGCTCTCTATTTCCTCATCTATATTTCTTCGGGAGCTTTGACTCAGCTGAGTTCACCCTCTTCTTGTGTCTGTCACTTATAGCTTTTTTTAGCGGTTGTCTTCTCTAAGGCTTCAGCTCGCCAGCTTCCATCTAGTTTTTCCACTTGGAGCCTCACCTTGACTCAACAGCCATCTCCTGCTTTCCCTGCTTAGATATTTTTGCTCCACCACTCTTGCTGCAGATTACAGGAAGCCTTTTCTGCACTGGAGCATTTTCTTTATCTGTCTGCCTGCAACACCTTTCTCCAATAACACTTTCATAGCCATTTACTGCCGCTGTGGAAAAATCTGAAGCTGCTGCTTAGATCTGTGCTTGGATCTGCCAATCATCACTTCACATCAGTTCTTTTTTCATTGGAATATCGTATATCATAGGAATATCTCCCTATTCTAAAAATGCACCCACAAACCAGGAGAGGCTGTTTTTAACCAAAGGATTCCTTACACAGGAAATCAAAGTTCCTAGCAATAACAGAAATGCAAGCTCTTTTAACAAGGTTCAAATACTTAGCTCCAATCTAGTCTTTCCAGGTAATCTAAAACAAGGAGCTCTTGCCTTCACTCTTTCTTCTCTCTCTCTCCTCCTTTCTATTTTTTATGCCTTTTTCTTGGATTGTTGATTAACACTTAATTATTTACTCATAACTTAAGTAAATTTTACAGTTGCTTTGATGAAAAGTTGCTCTGGTGAACTTTACAATTGCTTTGATCATTGAATCTAGGACTACTACATCTCAACCAAATCTGGAAATGTTGACAATAGCCAGGTGTTACCCATTGTACCTAGGTTCACTTCATAACAATATTTATATACTGTAGCTGGTAGCAGAAAAGCATTCCACTTTCCTTATAACAATCTGCATTATTTTAGAAATGTTTTTGGTGTTGCTTATTATAACTACATTTTACTGTTGTTATTGTAATGGAAAATGCAGTTCTTTTAGTTTTTAATTTAGTTTGTCTTAACAGAGTGGCACTTTGTCTCAGTAGTATGGCAGAATTTTCACTTACCAGCTAGAAGGACTGGGGTTCGATTCTCAGTCAATGCACAAGTTGTACTTTTTACCAATGAAGACTCTTTCCTTAATAGTAAATGCAATACATAATATGTATACTATATTGACATTTTTATTATTTTATATATCACAGTAAGTTAAATAATAAAATAATATTAATATTATATGAGTAACATGAATGAGTTAGAAAATGTGAATACTGTCAATAGTGGGAGTAAAAACCAGTTCTACCAGTCAGACCAAAAATCTCCAGGATGTTCGGAGGGAGTAAGTGAAGTTTAATTTACCCTTAAACAGAAATCGCAATTTAGATGTTTTGATGTGCATATTTCCTCTTAAATAATTATCATTTAAGCCACTATGTATAATATATTTTATATAATTACAATATAAAATAAGAAAGTTGTATTAAAATTCATTAAACTACAAACATTTAAGATCAGTGATGTCATGGCTGCTTTCACATCTCCTTCTTTCCTATTTTTCTACTCTTTGAAGACCTCCTGCAGAGTTAGAAGTGCAAAAAATGGAGGAGGGGTATGACAAATGAAAAAAATGCATTTGATATCATGAGAAATTCAGTGAGTCAAGTCTAGATGTAGAATGTGTTATACTTTAGCTGAACCTCATGTTCTTAAGCATGAATATACATTTGTTATAGTTTTACACAGTTTAAACTTGAAAAGCAGTTTCAAATGGTACAATAAATAAAACTTAAGTTAATATTTAATGCAGATTTCATTTTTATTATTAAAATAAGATATACTGTATGTGACACACATGGCACGTTAAGGACTCATTGTGCCACCTGGCAGTTTTACAGAGTAATTCAGTTCTGCACCAGATTATATAAAAAAAAGGTGCTGGGCACTTACTTTTTTGGTGAACTGTTGCATGTACAGTATCAGAGGCACACAACAATGTGCCCCAAGCATATCTGCATCTGTATCTCCCTGTTCTAAGAAATGCATCCACTAACAGAGAGGCAGTTTTTAACCTAGGGATTCCCTATACAGGAAATCAGTGTTTCCTAAAAACAACAGAATGGCAAGCTCTCTTAACAAGATTCAAATACTAAACTCAAATCTGGTCTTTTGGGATGATTGACAAAGGTGTCTCATCTGACACATGCATTGTTCTCTCTCTTTGTGTCTGTCTGTCTCTTTCTGTGTTCTTCTCTCTCTGACTACCTGCCTTTTTATCCGGTGTATCTCTGCTGCTGATCATGCTTAATCATATACCCAGAACTTAATTATCCAAAGTAAATCAGACAATACCTTTGATCAGTACAGTATGTTCCAGACCCCCTACCAGCAACCACCTCTTCCATATATTGTACTTGCTTTGAAGTACCCCAAGGACTGCAAAAGTTGTTATTAGCAAGGTTGACCATTGTCTCTAAATTTTAAATAACTCAATATCCCTTCCAGTAGCTGTAACAATATTAATAATAATAAATAGTTCAGGTGGGTAGCTGTGTCAGCATGCGTAAGCTGCAAAGGAACAAGGTTTAGGTAATAGAGAAGAAAGAAAACAAAGAAAGCCTTCTTCAGGTGTGAGCTCCACAGCCGAAACCTTGTTTTCTTTCTTCTCTTTTCAGCATGGAATAAACCTATTACTTGTTCCTTAATAATTATAAGCTTGGGCCAGAATTGGGTGAGAGGGGGGCAAAGTGATGCAACATTTTTATATGTATGTTCGTGTACCTCAGGATAGGAAATACTGGACTAGAGTTTCATCAAGGTTGTAGTTCTGCCTCTTCCCCATGCTTTGAGGCTAAAATCTGGATTGCCTTGCCCCTTGCTTGTAATACATGGATTTTTGTTAATGAGTGATAGAGTTAGTGTCAAAGAAATTTGGGTAAACAAACATTAAAGTATAGCTGTAATAGCTACAAGTATGGAGGTGTGGAAGTTAAGTCCAAATACAGTAGCGGTCCCCTGTAGTTCCCCACTGCAAGGGTGGGGATATATCAAGAGAGGCAGGAGACTAGAACTGTAGCTCACTAGTTTTTTACCTTTTTAGGTACACGGGCCTGCTAGTTACTCAGGTAGGTAAATGAAGTCATGTGCTTCTGTCATGAACACAACCTGAAGTCAATGGCTTCTGTCAGGAACACTGATAAAGTCAATTGTACAATTGTTCGGGTAGGGGAGGAAGGAAGCAAAACGAGAAGAGAGTAACTGCTTGGTGTGAGAATCAACTTAAAAACCTGACTTAAAAATATAATCTTGTCTTAATTGCGTAAAAATAAGCACTGACTTTTAACATTTCCCAGTGTAAATAGGGAGCACAGGCTTGCTAGGACCTTTTCTTGCTAGAAACAATAAAATAGCAAATACTGTTTTATAGAATTTGGAATTTACATCACGTAAAATATAAAAAGGTTGTATCAAGAGTATCAGGGGTACACAAGATTGAACATGAAATGTTGAGCTTCTGAGAAATCTTTCAGGTTAAACACCTACAGGGTATTGTCGAGAACAGCAGTCAAATTCCATCAAAGTCAACATAATAAATGTCTGAAAGAATTTGAATTTGACCTTTTTCCTAGAATGAGGAATAGGAAAGTGTTTAGAAAATCAGATGATGACAAAGAACTTAAAAAAACATTTACCATTGCATCATTAAGCACTTACAAAAACATAAAAATATACCGAGAGACAGGAGAACATTTAACAAATGCTGTTGGTTTCAATACTCATTTTTACAGCATATACTGTTCAAATCACTGAAAAACAAAAACAAAAATCACTTGTGTGCTGTGGTTTCGTTCTAGGTGGTAAGTTTACCACCTCTTCTGCTTTTGGTGATTTAGGTTCTTTAGTTGCCAGAGCACAGTTTGCTGATGACGAAATATGCGGTAATCCTAACACAGTAATCACAGTAACTGATGTGATTCCTGCACTGAAAGAGGCCTGTACTTACTACATTACTCACTGCCCAAGTTCCAGAATAAGGACAAGTGTATGGACATTTGATATATTTAAAGTATATATAGACAGAAGTGGATAATTCGTACTGTAATTTTTTTTTGCTGCATTTCATTTTTTAAAGAATAATTAGGTTGGCAATGTGTCAATTATTTGAATTGTTTCATTATTAAAAGTACTGTATATTTCTAGTTAAAATTATACTGTATTTAAACTGAGGTTATAAGAGTAAATTGAAGAATACTAAAGATACTGTTTGTCCAGAGCAGTAGAATGGCGTATAGTTACAGAAAACATGAAGACATTGTCTGCCTGTTCCCATTCACTGTAGCTGTAATTGATATGGTCTGTTTTCTGAAAATTGGTACTGAATATTTCACCTGTATTGGTGATGATAATTTAATGCTTTTAAAGCAGAATAGGGAGTTGTGTTATACTTTCTCTTTACTCTTTCTTAGTTTATTTTCACCACAGAATCTGTTTGTTCCTTATATTGATAAGTTTCTGTTGTATTTATCATTCAACATTTGAGTTTAGGCCTATGAATGTTAGTGTTTAAGAGGTTCAAGACATTTAAATGTGACCTCCTTTTGACATGCTACTAGAACATTTTGCTTGCGAATGGCATCCATATTGTTTGAGTAAATTCTCTATATGATTTTTTTAAACACCATAAAAAAGTGCACATTTTAATTGTTTTAATTTTTTTTGAGGGTGTTATTAATTCACATTTGATGAGTCTAATGTTCTTGCCGCAGGGTGTTGCTGAGGCAGAACTGGAGAAGAACCTGGAGAGAACCTTCAAGCTGATCTTTGTGACTTATAGAGATCAGGTAAGGAACATTCCTCTTTCCAATTGGAAGTTATTTCAAACATATGTATCTGTAAATGCTGTTAGGCATATCAGTAGATGTTTTAACTCTACAGAAAATAAGGTTTACAGACCCCTGTTCCCCACAAACACGGAACTCTGTTTGATTTCAAGGACTGACTAATGTTTAAATTAGTATTTTTTTTGTTATTGTTGTTATTTACTTAGCAGGTGTTCTTATCAAGGGCAACTTCCAAAATATACAATAACGTTCCAAGTCAATGCAAACAAATAATTCACATACATTAGAAAAAAAGAAATGTCAAGAAAAAGGACAGAAAACAGTGATGGATACAATGTAGTGCCAGTGTAGTGCAGAGCAATTGCCATCAAGCAGCAAACAAGATGTACAGTACAGTATGTAGGCATCACTTATTCTGGTAAAGAAGGAATCCCATTGAGCATAGTGCACTATCAGTTGTTTAATTAACATTAACTTCTCAGTTTCCTTATCATAATTGTCATAGGCACAGTGGTTAGCATTGTTGCCTCACAGCACTGGGGCCCTGGGTTCAATCCCTCGGGTGCTATCTGCATGGAGTATACCGTCTCCCCTGTTTGCGTGGGCTTCGTACGGTTGCTCTGGTTTCCTCCCACACTCCAAAAACATTCTAGAAAGTGAATTGGCTTTTGAGAAAACTGTCCCTAGGAACAAGTGTGAGCATGTCTGTATTTGTGTCTGTGTGTTTGCTCTCCAATGGACTGGTGTCCCATTCAAGGTGTAGACTGCCTTGCGCCCGTTGCTTGCATAGCCTCTAGCACCTCAGGGACCCTGAACTGGAAAAAGTGTTTTTAAAAATGGATTGGATAATTAATGTCCTGTGCCATTTGTTTTCTTGCTAATAATATGAGCAAGAAATCTAAAACTGTCTGGACAGGATACACTGAAGTTGTTGGTGGAAGAAAATTGCAGCATTTAACCTCCCCCTTCCCTTAACAAAAAACAACCCTCTCCTGTGTAATACACTCTATATGATGTGTGTAATCTATTATTTTTGAGGGAGTGTGTGTGTGAAAAAGGGGTTAAATATTCAGCAAGTCTTTTAGTTTTTACTAGAATGTATTAATACTGTTAAAGGAAATTCGTTTTATATTTTTAAATAGCTTTCATCAGGGGATCCAAGTGCAATTAGATTTTTTCTGGTGATATTTAAATGTTTAATTTAAGAAATGCAGTGATGTTTTTAAAAGTTAAATGACAATTTGAATCAAAGATCATGTATGTATGTTCAAACCTAATTGCAAATTACCTGTAAATGAAATTACCGCTTTCTTACATATAATTCAAAGATCTTATCAAAGGTTTGGATACGCAGTCCTCTTCTTATAGGCAGCAAAGAGGCCTGTCAATGAGGTGTGTATCCATGCCTGGGGGTTTGAGTCCCACGCTGAGTGACCTTGCATTGTAATGAGGAACATTAAAGTGTACTCCATCCAGGGCCCAGCGATACATCAGCAGATACATTACCAGCCTCTGATGTGACAGTAATACTGCTCGCTAATGAACCTGTGGGGCCAAAGGCATGTCACACAGAGCAGACAAACAGCCGGGACTCAGGCCTTTTATCATGCTCAGCACCTTGTTTCTCTCTGGGAACCTCTCTGAGGTGCAGAGACAAAAACACACACGGCTCGTTTAAAATGCCCCCTCGCCCACTCATACACCCACACAAGACTGGCACCATTAAAAACCACTTTTCTGCTTGACTGACCTCACATTTCTCCATTATTATGATTATATGCCACTGTATCTCAAAGCATGTATGTACTAATCACCCAGGAAAGACTTTAGGACTACAAAGAGGCTACAAAGAGGCTCAAAGAAAGGAAAACACAGTAAGTAATCCCTCCAGGCAATCCATTCTTAGCTTGCAGCTAAATATATTGTTTAAAGGTTTTTCCTAGTATCTACTAATACATTACTAATACAAATACATGCAGTATAGGCAAAATTAAATATTTTTATGATCACTTTATTTTTACTGCTTTAAGTGGTCTATTCTGGTATTTTTTGGCTTCCTGATATTTTCATCTGGAATGCAATTTCTTGGGATCTTTTTCAAGGTATTGTTAATAATATTATCTGAATACTGTACAATGAAGGACTGTGATGTTTATAGATGGCTTGCTAGATAAGCTCTGTTTGGATATTGTTTCCTTTTGAAAGCAAAAACATCTTGAGTAACCATGTATCCAGTGATGACTTAATTCTCACTTCCTTCCACACTGGCAGATCTCTTTTTAATAAGAAGTATCCTGCACAGCTGGAGGTGCTCTGATATTTTTAGTATTCTTGTTAAATGCTGTTTGGAGGGTTTGTCCATAATACAGCTCAATTAAAGGCCCCAGGAAATGAAACTAATCAAAATAAATAAATTTGTAATGTAGAGACTGAAGTTATTGCATTCAAATTAAACATTAGCTTTACATTTCAGGCAGAAGCAGTAAGTAAAACCTAGCTTCAAGCACAGGAGATGAGAAAATACTTGTTTTCATTAGCCGGGTGCCTAAAGGGCTACAGAGAATAAATATTATGTGAATCAAGAATTATCAAAAACTGCTTATGACCTGTAATGTTTTAGGTGGAAAGAGATTACACAGCAAATTGCATCAGAGAAAAAGAAGATGGGGTGAGGAGGGCACATGCTCCTCAGATCTTACTGTTGAGTGTGATCATTTTACCCATAGACTCTTCGGCACAGAAGCAAAAGTTGTTTTTGTGCAAAGATCTTTCTCCTTATATGGCTTATTATTTGACAGAATCAAACTGAAGCTGAGAGACATGAGATATTTGTCACAGTAGAGCAAATTAGGAGTACACTTGAAAGGAATGCCTGAGTTCTTATGGAAATGCTCGAAAATATCCAGAATGTACCGATTTGAACAGATTTATATTTAATTACTTTATTTACCCGGATGAGTCAATTGAGAACAAATTTTAATTGACCATGAAGACGTGAGGACGATTTTGTCCTGCAGGGCACTTCCTGCAGCAATGTGAGTGAAGTCCTTTGCTCAAGGCTACAACTGGAGCCTCCAGAGGAATCCAGAGCGCCTACTGTACCACTATAATGTATAATGTTTCTTTATTAGCCCTATACAATTTCTTGCATTAGGAATTCGTCTTTTCGCATACCCCAGCTTTTCTCCATGGAGACACAGACACACAGACAGGTAGAAGCTTGGGGTCAGAGCGCAGGGTCTGCCATTGTACGGCGCCCCTGGAGCAGTTAGGGTTAAGGGCCTTGCTCAGGGGCCCAGCGGAGTAGGATTCCTCTGCCAGCCACGGGATTTGAACCGGCAAACTTCCAGTCACAGGCGCAGAGCCACCGCTCCGCCCACTAGTCAACTCCCGCACTCTTAGGTCCATTCTAGTATCTTCATTTATATTCCATTGCGATTTCTGTACAATAACGCCAGGTACAGATCTAAATCTATTTGATCTAAACCAATCATTTTCTGGCATTCCAACAGTATTTTTGATGCAGCAAACTAGGGAATAATACTGACTGGAACCAGACACCCTTACATAGACAGTCCATTTGTTTTTCAACTTGTTTTTGAAGTGTTGTATGTGGTCAAGCCCATATGTTACTAATTGAAGCATGTGTTTTTCTGGTTGAAATTATTAGTGTAACTAATCTGAAATGAGGATCTGTGGGTAAGTCACGCCTCATGGACTGTGCACAGGATAAAAGGGACTGTATATGAGATCATTAAAAGAGATAATGTAGGCATTTTAGGGGACATACAGAACATTTCATCAGTATTGAAGTGATTGGCTTTCAAAACAAGAAAAGGACAGGAATTCCAGCTGATTTGATCTGCTGTTTTTTGAGCGAGTTTATTTGAGGCTGTTTTTCATGTGAAATGAGGCTAGGACCACATTGGTCTTCACATTGAAATAAAGGAGATGGACTCCAGCTGCCATACTTTGATTATGACTACGTCATGCTGTTAGAATTAGTGAAGCTAAAAACATCTGACCTGACAGTCATAGGCCAAAAGCTTTTCTCTTTTTTATTGTTATGTTCTTGAAATACATCTTACATTTTAATTGCAGATTTCCTGTCTGTACACATTAGGGTTAACATTTTTACAAATGATATGTTGTCACTCTGTGTGCATCTTTCATTGCCTCTAGAATAAGCTTTTGTATTTAGACTAATATATAGTGCTAAGGGTAATGTTTTTGATTTTCATACATTTGAAACACAGACTTATTATGTTGCAGGTGTCCTTTGAGAGGACAACAATAATGCCAGCTTGGCACTAGAAGCAGCAAATATTCCTCTCTCATTTACAAATAGACACACTGGGTGATAAGTGTTAGAATATTGGTAGTGATTCATTCCACATTCCCAGATGAATCAGTTAATCAGTTGAGTGTTTGGGGATATAAAGTGCTTTACATGATTAGTTGTGGTTGGGTGTTTGAAAGCAGATAGTAGGGAGGCTACTTTGGGGGACAATGTTGTTGTATAACATGCAAGATCTTTAAAATAAAGATGCCTGCACCACCCAGTATTGCCATTGTGGGTGTTTTATTTTGAAATAATTGGAGCAACATTAGTTAAATCTGAGAAATCTTAGAAAAGCTTTTACATTGTACATACGGTGCAGCAATTATTTCTCTAAGTGACAATCCTTCAAGTTTGCTGTTGAGTAAAATGCAATATACAATATCTTTTTGCTTTCCTATAATTTGAAATCTGCTCTTCCACTAAATTCTGCAGATCAAGACAGAAGTTATTGAAGTAAATGAAATACAGAAGAAAGGGACACACAGTAGATTTTGGAAACTACAGTAAAATGTGATGAAAACTGTTTAGAAATATGGGGCTTTTTGTAGTAGAATGCATCTTTTTCATAAGCAATTACATATTTTTTATAAGCAATTAAAATGCAGATTCATGTGTATTATAAAGAAATTGGGTACAAGAAGGACATCTAGTGGCAAAAAGGAACTGAACCAAGATCCACAGAGCTCAAGAGGGTTTAAGCAAATAGTGAAATAATTATTTTAACTTGTAGTCTTCTGTTTATATTTTTAAAAAGAACCCAGCAATCATAAGCAGGTGTCCTTTCCTAATTGTTTTTCAGAGAAGCACTTATACAGTATTATACTTCAGTTGGCTGTGGAAAATAATAGTGTTGAGCTTAGTCAATCTGTCATATGTGTAAATTTGAATGCATGTAAATAAACAGCAGTAAATGAATGCTTTATTCATAAGTCTTTGTCCCCAAGTATTTAATAAAAGACTTTTGAATTTAAACATTCAATGAACTTTAGAGTAACAAAGCAATAATGTAAGTGAATGTATAAATGTTATGCACTGTGAGTGAATATGAATTGGGTTCTGCAACATATTTCTTTTTGCCATTTCATTATGTGTTCCTGGTATTTTATGGTTATTTTTCTATATCAAACTCAATTTGATATAGAAAAGTGGCTTGAAACCAGGTTTCCCAGTCTCTAGTGGTTAGAGTTTACCACTAGCAGGTACAGTAGCTCAGAATATTGATTTAATATAGGATAAGTCAGCTTGTTTCTGTTGACTGAGCACAGAAGATTATTTTCCTTAGATTCAGATGACTAGGGTCCCAGATAAATGTTCAGTCCACAAGGTTTAGTTACTAGATTTCCTGATAAAGTGTACAGTAGCTGTCTAGTTTAAACTGAATTTGACAAGGATAAGTCATCTGCAGTAGCTAAGTGAGCATATTACACTTCAACCAAAGTTTTAAACAGTCAGGAAAAACAAGAGAAGATAACTCTTTTAATCTTTCATATATATACATCTATTCTATATAATAATTTTACTGTGCTTACTAATATATTTAGATATTTCCTTTTTTTTAGGATCAAGGTCAACCTTTTTTGACTACATCCAATGTTCGCCAAAGAGGTAGGAAACCTGTAATCGTCTTCTGTTAAATCACTGTTATGCATTATAAAAGGACATTATCATTCACCTTGAAATCTGGATGGAAAATGCTGGATGGAGTGCTTATCTTGGCTCTGTCTAAACTAAGGTGGAACAAAAACTTTAAATATAGTTTTGTTTACTGTCCAGTTGCAACAACTTTAACCTTTTGTCTCTTTTACTCATCAATATCAACATATTAATACAATTACATGGGCCCATTCGGTCAATTTTGTTATCCCATCTGTTACATGCACATTTCTTTTTGATTGTAATAAAGGAAGCACAGCCATGTTGAGCTGAAATTGTTAAATGTTAATGGAGAACAAGCAAAAACCACATTCTAATCTAAGTGGGAAAGAAAAAAGATTCTTAACCCTTTTAAACAAGATTTGGCAACACTAATGCCAAATTAGTGCTTTGGCAACACTAATTCATTGCTCATGCCATTATAATTTGGAATATGCCGTTTATAATTTGGAAAATAATACTCATTTTCAGAACAAAAAAGTTTTTGAAAGGAGGAAACTAGTTTAAAATAACCTTTTTTTTATTTTAACTACGCATGGTACTGTCTAGCCATGGCCGTGATATATTTTAGACTTCTCTTTGTTGAGCATGGATCCTGTTCCCCTCTATTTGTGTTGAAGTAGTCTCAGTAGGTTCAGTGAGTACTGTGCTAATTGTTGCAGCTTTGGCAACACTAATTCATTGCTCATGCCATTACAGCTCCTTGAGTTTAGCCCTCAGAGCTTAGTAGAGCTATTTGGCTCTGCCTCTTGGTCTCTGTGTCCTCTGTGCAAAATGGTTTGTCTGTACATCAGCAGTAATCTGTGTTTCCAGGAGGTTATCATTTCACTTTTGCACCAATTGCTTGGAAATACTGTCCCCCTAATTCCTTTCCTGTGGCATCAGGTTACTGCTATATAGTTATGAATAATCTGTTAAAGAATTTAAGTAGTGAAGGATAACTAAATGTGGGGAACTGACACATTTCTTATTTAAAACTTATTTAAATATTTAAAATTTGTAACTATATAAAGTGATATTTTTGTCCTTTTTGAATGTCTCTACCTAAATTGACATTCAAGAAACCTTAGAACTCTTAGGCACCTATTAGATAATAACAGAGATGCACATATACACTAGCAGATGTAATTCTAAAAATTCTTACAATTAAAGCAATTAGCATAAACTTCTGATCCATGATAAAACGTATTACAATGTATTTGCACTGCTGCATTTAATGTGTGAATTGCAAAAACAAATCACTAAATTAAGATATCATTAACCGAGAAGAAAAAAAGGAAAAAGCCCAAAGGGTTTGAAGTAATTTGTCTTTCTAATATACTTTTGTAACAGAGAGAGCAAGTTTTTTTTAATTCAGACTTCAAACTGTCCTGTAGTTTTATACTTATGCAATGCATTTGTCCTGTAAATTTTCTTTCCCCTTGCATCAGCCAAGCATACATAGAATCGCCAACAAAGAAGGAATGTGCCATTAAATAAGACGTCAGTGGTCAGTGATTATGGTAGGAATAACAGGCAGTTTTTACTGTTTTAGTTCAGAAATTGCTAGCTCCAGACAGGGCTATGATCCAGTTTTAAGGTTTAATAAACAGTAGCATGTTTGTAAGGTTTAATAGCAGTAGATTTAAAAAAACAGGTCAAATTTCTTGTTCCATAGTCTCATAGCATTTTAAATAAGTGTTTTAATGGGAACATAAGAAAACATACTGTAGATATTGAATTTGCATCTCAGTTGAAGCATTTTGTACCTGAATAAATGCTTCATATGGTAATATAAACATTTTAAAATAATCTAAATAAAAGTTACAGTGAGAACAGCAGTATCAACACAGGCATAATGTGCTCTTTTCTGTGGTAGGACCCTAGGATCAGTGAGCTATAGGCATTACAAAGCATGACAATACCCAAAAAATAGGATAAGATAGATTTTCCAGAGCAGAGGTAGATGTACAGTGGTATAATACTTCTGTGAAAATGTCATAAGACAATGGCCTGTTTATGGTTTTGGAACAGTACATTTCAGAATTGCATTAAACATACTTCAGAATAAGGGGGGTAAAAGCAATGCAATGTTGGTAAGATGGGCTCTGTTGTGTTCGAAGGGGGGCTGCTGGTTGGAGCACCTGAGAATCCTACCAGAAGTTCATCTCTCAGTGAAGCAGCTTTGCAGTATTATGTCCAACAGTACAAGAAGAGTGGCTTCAGGTAGGGGAGCCAAGCCTCCATTTCCTCTCGACATGAATGCCCCACTGCACCATGAAGAGGGAGACAACTTTTTTATGTTTTCTTAGATTTGCTTAAAATAGTACAAGAATGCATAATTAAGAGCTAATAGACTGCTTTTAATATGAAGAAAATCAGTTAAAGATAGCCTCCTTTCAACCAGATCTGTGTAACTTAGATTAAAAATAAAACAGTCATAGCCTAGCCCCATTGTGCTTTTTACACTTAAGGTAAGTCTACAATGTGAACAAACACCATTTCATGTCAAGAATGTCACAGATTTCACAAATATGAAATGAAAGCATTTCATTAAAATATTGTAATATCTACAGGACACTTGAGTATCCAGTTTTAAAGATCTAGACATATTGCTGATGGATATGTTTACAAACAGGCTGTTTCTGCTCATCTTTATCAAAGGTGATCTTTACCAATAATTTTGGGAGTGACTGTACAGTATATGTCATTTGCTTACACAATTTTAATTTTCTCTACTGCATTTCAGTAACCATTACTCCTAGTGACTCTAGAATCTCTCTAATATTTCAGTATTTGTATTCATGATTTCTTCCTTTCGGATGTAACAAGATGTAGCATTTTTGGGGTTTTATGATTTTAAGACAATGGAGTTCAATTTCCATTTTAAAGTTTAATATTTAATAACACTGCAATTGTAGGAAAAGCAACATTATTTGTTAAATGGATGATTGATCATTTTGCATTTGTAATCAAATGATTTCTGAAAGTCTATTATACCCAATAATTTTTAGGTGACAGGTCCAATTTTACTCTGCTGATTTATTAATAAATGTAATATTTGCATAATTGTTGTGGGGTTAAAAATAATATTTGTCTGTGATTCTTCTTGGCTGTCTGAATTCATTCTTCTGAATAATTCATCTTTGGCTCATAAGAATTAGCCTAGGCTGTTACTAAAATAAACAATAGATACAAACCTTAGTATTATATATTATATTGATTTATTTTTCATTCAGATCATTTTGGCATTGTATTTTGTTTGAGGAAGGAAAGTTAATTTTTTTGTCAAGCTATATATTTAAATTATGAATGTGTTGGATGGCACAGAAGTGCAGTGGTTAGCGTTGGTGCCTCACAGTATTGCAGCCCTGGGTTCAATTGCTGGGGTGCTTGTTGAGTGGAGATTGTATGTTCTACCTGTGTTCTAGTGGGATTCCTCTAGGTGTTCAGTTTTCCTCCCAAATTCCAAACATATCCAGGTAGGTTCATTGGCTTCTGGGAAAATTGGTGTGCATGTGCATGTTTGTGCCATGCAATGGACTGGCATCCCAACCAAGGCGTATCCTGCCTTGGGCCCATTGCTTGCCGACAGCTATGGCTCTCCCACATTTTTGAATAAAGCAGTTATAATTTGGATGGATACCTTTATTTAAGGTAATGTGCAAACAGATATATTAGATATATTACCTTATTTACAATAAGAAAGGCAAGCTACACAAAGGGGATACGAAATAAAACAAATGAAGAGTTAGAAATGCAATGATCCAAGGACTTCATCCAGCTGTTCTGGAAAGAAGGCAAGTTATCAGCTTTAACAGCACAACAGCTTGTTTGAGACTCCCATGAACATCTGTGTAAAATAAGCCTCCATTTCTTAGTTTCCCCCATATATTCCGCTTGTTTCCCATAGATCACTAATCAGTGTTCATTCTGAAGTCCAAGAACACTAATTTCCCATTTTGTTGCTTTTCCACATTGTTCAGAAGTTGGGAAAATGATATGCCAACATAAACAACATTTAAATGCGGCTTCCTGGTGTTGGCATTTACAGCAAATAGGTACTGTAGCTTGTTGATGCTGAGTGTTAGCAAATTTATGTTTATATAATGGTTTGTTTGTGACACCCAGAACTTGTCTACATTAAACATCATCTGCCAGAGATTTGCTTAGCTCAGCTAAATTTCCCTGTGCTACATCTACAAGTGTTTCCTGATGTTCCTGTTTTGGTATAATCCCTTTGCTAAGAGTGGTCCTGTTACAGATCCTTCTCTTACTATAGTAATTAACACAAACTGAATAAGAGCATTCACACCTTATCTATACTTTTTTATTTCCCGTCCATTAACCAGTTGTCAAACCAAATACAGTAAATACATTTTATGAGGCTTAAACATTCTACATTTTAAATCAATTAAAATGATCAAGTAATATATATCATATCAGTATCAAATAACATGCCCTGACAGCAGCATGCTATTCAAGCAAATTCTAAAAATTTATAATTCCATCACTATAGTCTGGGGATACCAAATATAACAAAGCACGTATGTTTTTGTGTTCTCCAGCACAGTGTGGTAATGAATTAACAATTCTGTCACAAGTTTAAACAGATAAATATTTATTTACAATATACAGTACAAACCACACACATTTCAATTGTACTGTATATACAGATGTTTACAATCCTGTGAGTGCCACAGTGCTTTGCAGCACTTGACCCAGCAACAGAGACGCTATAATTGGGAAAACAAAAAAGGGAAGAAATCTTATCAAGTAAAAGGATCCTGCCCATAACTACTGTAAATCACTCTCCATAAATTGGATGCTAACCAAATGCAATCTCTGTTTTCGTACTCCAAATAATGCATTACTCAACAATGGAAGTAGTTTAGCTTGGTGGATTGCACAAATAAGAAATTGGTATTTCCTGAAATATAAAATATAAAACAGGTATTTTCCTTTAAACCCTTAGGTCTGATCATCTTAGTGTTCACGTTATGTGGACAGTTTCTGAACTCTTGATCGGTTTTTGGAGGTTTCTTTCTCACTGTTCTTTTTCTTCTCTTCCTCTGTCCACAATTTTTCTCTGCTCTGTCCTTCATGTTTACTGTGTGTAATTTATCCTGCCTTGGGGCCCATTTTGACTATATAATTTCCCTATAAAGCCAGGCCTAATGATCATGCTAGAAATAATCCATTATTGTTAGATATTGATGTTCTTAGAAAGTCTTTAATGATTTAAATGAGAAGTGATTTAGTCTGACTTAGTGATGGCTACAACATTTGACTACTGCAATCAGAATTGACAGTTTGCACAAATACAAACCAATACCCATTGCCTCAAATTACGGGATTGGGTACTTAATGGGAAGGTTTAACTTTAGAATACCTTTGAATGCAGCAATATTATGCTCTGTTTCCATGACTATTGTTGTTTCTAACACGTTAGCTAAATAAGTTAAACCTACCATTTGTTTAAGTTTGTGTTGACTGTCCATTGGAATCCTTGTGCCATACTGTACAGATAATCTTAAAGTTTTATTTGATCATCTCCACAATCTTACAATATTCTACTGTAGGACTTTACGTTGAATTGTTGTCACCCAGTGGATGGGTTGTAGATTGGGAATTCTTCATTCAAGGGAACTATTAAGCTGTCTTGAGTAGCAGTTGTAAAAGATTGTTTAATGGCTTGTAAATAACATCTCATGCTTCTCTGAAGAGAAACGCTTCTGCCTATTCTATGATAAGCCATTTAATGTGGAGCTTTGTCTTTCCTCCACCTGAAGCATGCTGTTAGTTGTCTTCTGTGGGAAACACCTCAAGGTAGTACTTTCAAGAAGTGGCTGGATGTAATCCTGAGATCAATTATACACACACTGTCAAACAGGCTAGATGGCCTTAATGGTTTCCTCTCATTTGTAACTTCCTGTATGAGTATAGTGTTCATTTAATACATCTGCCACCTTTCTTTTATTTCCTAAAAGTTGCTTAATCACCCCTGGGACACTGGGACACAGAGTTTAAACAAGTGGATCTCTGGAAAGGCGCTTTATAAAAAATATTATTTTTATTATTTATTGTCTTAAGGTGGTGCCCTTAAGATCATTTTTCTATGCTTTAGTGGGTAGTTTTCACCACGCAGGTGTAAGGAAGAACAATAAGTGGGTACAAGAGACAAGAGAGCAGAAGAAGTGCAGAGACGATGAGATAATAGAAGGAGAAATGGAGCAAAAGTATGATGAAGGGAGCAATAGCGAACAAGAAGTATCTTAAAGAAAGTCAGCCATTGCAGAGACTGTTGAAGAGCTGCATGAGAGATATGAAGCAGAGAAAATACAAAGCGAGCAATGGTGTTTCAGAGGTTTTGTAGAGAGTGGATTGCTGATGGAGAGTGGCTAGCTTCCTTACTGGCTGCATAATAGCATTGTGCAGAGGTGACAAATTTGAAAGGAATGGGAAGAAAATTTTAAAAATTAAATAGGTGCCTTTTCTAACAACATGCAAGAAAGCTCTTAAATAGTAATGAGATCTTTCCTATCGAAATTCAAACACACTATCCAGCTATGCTGAAATATGATTATACAGTCATTTGGGATCAATTGCTGTAGACTCTACCCCCTTAAGTAATCAAAACAGACAAGATATAATGATTTACTAGTACTATGCTTTTCCTTAGGCAGTTATAGATCACACATAAACCACAGGGTCATATATTCAGCACTCACTGTACTCATCTGTGTGATCCCATGTTCATCTCTGTGATCCATGACTGTGTAGTGTTGGTTTAATGTATGTAAATTCCAGGAAAAAGAAAGAAGGTCTGTTGAATGAAGATGGAATATTATTATGCGCATAACTGATTTTACCAGCTGTGACAAACCAGAACGCTTTTATTATGTTTGACAAAAATAGTAAAAGTCACAAATATCACAAACCCAAAATGTAGCTTTATTTTTAGAGCTCTTACTAGTACTGTGTCTAGACAATAGGGCAGCTATGCTGCTTACTGGCTTCAATTCACAGTCCCTCTCTGAGACTCTTCTAAAATTCTTCTCTTTTTCTGAGACCCAAAACTCACAAATCCCACAGTCACATTTAAGTCTCTTCTTTTTCCCTTCTCTCTTCCTTATACCTGTATATCATCTGGAATCCCCTACTTTCTAGTTATTTAATGTCAGCCAACCATTTGTTTTCTCCCAGTTGGTCAGGTGACATACAGTAACTCATAGTTGAAAGAAGTTCAGACAGACAAAACCTACCAGGTTGTCTGAATCTGTCATCCCATCACTCACTAATGACCATAACATAATTGTAAAGGCACACTTTGTTTATTGCACTATCAACTTTTACCTCAACACAGTGTGCAATAAATGTACAGTACCAGCAGGGCCTTAATGTTCTGCAGCCTTTGAAAGCCATTTTTGAAATGCAACCAGTAAGCATCCAGCCAGTTTGTGATATATTTTGCAATTCAACACATGGCTATAGCTGGAGGTCACATTTCAGTTATCATTTTTGCTTTATTTTCAGACAATATCATAACTGTTTATTGGGGCAAATGTATTCCAGCACTTCCTCTGGTGTCTCATTTAGGGAAATTTCAACATGATGTATACATAATTTATTTTATTCAAAACCCAATTGGTCCAGCTGGAGACATCTTATGGGATAATATAATTGTATAATATTACAGTTAAAGTCTGCAAAAATAAAAAAAGAAATCAAATATGTGGATTGAATAAGTATTTTGTCAATATGGAAGCACCATTGGCAGAAAGTCTCCCTCCAGGTATGCGCCCACCAGATGCATTTTGTGCCCATTATTCTTGGAGGGGGTGCTCAGGCTTTCTCAGTTTTCTTAAGGATTGCTTTTGGAAAGCATTTCCAAGTCTCTTCACAGGTTTTCAGTAGTATTCAAGTCAGGACATTGACTGAGCATTTGAAAGACATTCACTCTCATATTCTTAAGACACTGTAGTATAGCTCTGACTTTGTGCTTTAGGTCATTGTCCTGTTGAAACATGCATTTTGGCCTAGATATAGAAGCAGGTTTTTCTTTAAGATTTGCCTGTACCTTGCCTCATCTATGCCCCTATTAGTATTGATGAGCATTGCAGTCCCTGCTGATGAGAAGTAGATCTGTAAAGTCATTCTGCATTTTTTGGCAGTAGAGAAGGGCATATTGACTGAATGATGCACTACATTGGAATATACTTGTTACGTCCTTGTGTGTGTCCGTATGTAAAGGTGATGTAGTGTCACAAAGGTAAAGGTGATGTAGTGATGGACCCCCCCCCATTGGTCCATCACTACATCACCTTTACCTTGGTGACATCATCTTCAATCAACTGTTGACCAATCAGAACTCAGCTTCTTCAGTATTTAACTTGGAGGTTTTCAGAATGAAGAGGCCTTTTGCTTGACTTTGGTTCTGCTCGGCTCAGCTTCGTTTCGCTAATGCTTAGTTTCTCTCTGTTATAATTCGTTTCGCTTCGTATGTGTTTCCATATGGCTTCGGTTTAGTTGGTTTGTGTTCATCTCCTTGTACTTTCGTTTGTTTGTTTTTATCCTGTATTTCGCCATTACCTTCCCCAAATGTGTTATATCAACCTCTGTTATATCTTTTGTACTCTACTCCTTATCTACATTCGTTTTCCCTTATTTGTATTTGTAGTTCACTTGTGTATTTGTGTGAACTTTTGTGTAAAAGGTTAGTTTAGGTTGTCAGGTACATCTGCACACGTAGTTGGTCTTTGTATTAGAAACACTAGTAAAGGACGGGTGAATCCCATGTGTCTTGTGTGGTTTTGGGTAATTAGTGAAGGTTAGTCAGGGTGTTAGAAGATGCCGAAGACCGAGTGTTTTGGGTTTTGTTTTGTAGTTAGGTCAGCTTCCCCTCACTTTCCTAGCCAGCTCCATTTTGTTTGTTATTTTCTTTTCTTTGGCACCACTCTAGCTCCCTTTCTCTGTGTGTTATTGTGTCCTATATTACATACCAGTCACTTATTTCACTTTAAAATAAATCCCCTTTGCACCAAACTTGTTATCATGCTTCCTGTCCCTCACCAGAAACCCACCTGCGTCCAAATCATCCTAAATGTTACACCCCTTTACCCCTAGACACTTGGGGTCATATGTATGAAATACTTTGAATTCAGACCAGAAAGACCCAAGTTTGCCTTGACCAGCCCTTCTGTTCTGTATCTTTTACAGCTTTATCCTGAGCTGTTTTAAATGCTCCTTTGTCTTCGTGGTTAAATCTTTTCTTGTAATTCACTACCTGACTCATATACTTTACAGAGATAAGTGTGTTTAGGTGTTTTATAGCCACTAATTGTGTGGGTCTTCAATATAATTTTGTGCTACTTAAGATGGGTTTGCAAAAGCATGTTTGAGTATTTATGCAAACATGACTTTTCTGTTTTCCTTTCATGTTATTTACTATACTGTAGCTGTGCATCCTTTTTTTTGCTTTGAATGTGTGTAGTAGTTTGTGTAACAAATAAGGATTACTTCTTAAAGGGTCATGACTGCAAGTTTGAAAGCAACAAAATGTGAAAACTGTGCAAGGGTCTGAATATGTTGTGAGGCACTGTATAGGTGACAAAAATGTTTTTTCTTATACATGATTCCTTAATTCATGGAATATATTGCCTTAATTGGTAGCATTAGAAAGATAATCGTACAAATAGCATACTGGGATTGGGCAAACCCCAGCCCTGTTCTGAAATAGCATTTTTCTTCCTGTTGGACAATAAATACATTTTACATACAGTATACATACATGTTAGTTAAGGAAGTAATCAGACAATCAATAATCACCATTCTTGGTTCTTGGTATGAGAATAATTTTTGGTCCTGCAAATAATGAAAATCTTGAATTTTGCTATTGCTATAAAAATAGAGTTTTGCTATTCATATATTTTTAATGTTGTCAAAGATTATGGAATTATGCAGCAATAATAGTGTGTATTAATTTGGAATGCAGAGTTTTAACCATCCTTTGTTTGACTACCAATCTGCTGTAGAGCCTCTGCTGCCTAATTACTTTTGTTTATAAATGTCTTACCTAAAACATCATATAAATTATGTTCTGTCTTTTTATGGCAGTTTACATATTTAATATATTATGTTTTGGAATCAAACGAATTCTGTAAACAAGCAATTCACTGTTGTTTTTGGATCTTGTACACACTGGAGCCTACATTATGGTTTGGGCTATTTTCTGCAAAAGCCACTGACAGACATACTGTACATGTGTGAAGTTCTTTATCATACATGTGAATTTCTTTAATTTAATTGGTTTTCATTGGAACACTGGCTGCGCAGTCTGTTAGCAATGTTTTTGCTATTGCAGTAAAAATCAATGCAAAATAAAAATGTTTATGCCTTTGGACTAAAGCTTTTTGGGGGGATTCTTTTGTAGTGTTCAATGGTGAGCCACTGAATATAAAACAAATCATTTTATTTCAAATAATGAAAATTATTTTAATTGTTTCATTACCATTTCTCTTGTCCTTTTCATTTTATGATGACTTAGTAACTTTGTGTTCTGAGGTCCATGTTACTGATTCTCTGGTTGTAAATAGTGTTATAATTGTGTTTTCTGATCCACGCAGAGGTCCTTTAAACTGGTACCGAAACATTGAGAGAAACTGGCGCTGGCTTTGTTCTAGGCCAAGGAGCAAGGTAACTACCATCAGAACAGTCTTTCTTTATCAATATGATGAATCGTTAAAAAGATAAATGACATTTGTTAAAGCAATGTTAAATGTTTTAAAAGGACATCAAAATATATGTTAGGTTTAATCAAGAGAACCAACTAAATGGGCTCAGTCACTGCCTCTCATTTTTGAACATTTCTCAGGGTACTAATAAAAGATCAAGCAGAAGTTAATGCTACTCTGAAAAAGTAGAAAGTGCAAGTAAAACACAACCTGTTGGCCAAAGTGCCAAAGAGCTTTTGTTTTTAATTTGAAATTATAATGAAAACACCGTTGTGACACCCAAAACCAACAACCATATGAGCAGATGTCAATAGTAATTATATTGGAATAGAAAACCAATGGATAACAGTTATACCCTGGAGAGACTACATACAGTATTTGGGATCAAGGTACAGTAGGTGTGCTATCACCATGTTCACCTTGTTCAACCCTTAGACTAGACTCTTAGCAACACATTCATAAAAAAGGTGTCTATTGAACGTTGGTCTGATGTTTTCTGACCAAGAGGACTTTACCACTTTGTAGCTCCCATGATCTAAATTTGAGTTCAAGCCTTCAAGGGTGAGAGCTACATGAATTGATTAACTGATTATAGAATCCCTCTGGACATTAAATCACCCTGCCATATTTACACACTCACTCTACTGTCATTTATAACCCAGCAGTGGAATGCAACATTTTGAAACGAGTTTCAGCTTAAAACTTCAGCTCAATAGGTGTTATTGTTTTTTCTTGTTTTGCATGGAATGAATACGGAATGTGAAAATGCAGATGGAATGCTCTAAAATAAACAGCAAAATGTCATTCTGAGACATTGTATGTCTCCTTAAAGGTTGTTGTGAGTAATTAATAGTAAATTGAGTTTTTGGAATATATGTAGAATTGCTTTGTTTTTGTTACAAATCTAGAAGATGCAGTAATTTTTTGTCTTTAAGCTTTTAAATTTTTACGCTTCAACAAAAAACAAATATTATATAGAAATTGGAGTCTGTTCAGAATAGGGGTTCAGTGCAACACTTCCATGAAACTGCTGTATTCATCCTCAGATCATGATTCCGGCACTAATGGTGACTGCAGGGAAAGACCGGGTGCTGTTGCCTGCCTTTTCATCCGGAATGGAGAACTTGGTGAGCTCAGTGAACATACGGGGGCTTTTGGAACTTTTCCAGACACATGGGACAGATTCATTTAGGCATCATATTTTGGCAACCGGCTGATCCATTTGAGCAGGACAAAAGTCAATTCAGCATTTCTTTCTGCCAGTGCGCTTTCACTGCTGTAGGCAGTGAGCTGGATCTCTACAGCTGTCTTCCTGGAGGCTTCAATACAAAACCAATTCACTAGAAGTGTTTGAAAGGTTTTTACTGTAGTTTTATAACTACATAAACATACTCTGTTGGTGAGACACATAACAGGTTACCTTGATTTTTTTGTAATTACTTTTGATATTGTTTTAGTAAGTAAAAACAAGTCACAAAGTAAAAATAAAACACCATGCATTATTTTGTTATTATGATATTTAGCAATGCCCATTACCTGCTAGTCAAAAGGTGTTTGAATACTATTGATATCTCTGTACATGATGAACAGTGACTATGTTATTTTCAAATTACGGATTCATTGATTGGAATTGAATTGTCCAGCTTGTATTTTTAGTGAGACTGAACATTAATTTAAAGATTTACAGCTTCTGACATTCAAAATAATGTATATACTTGTGTTTGGTTTTAAGATTCCAAATCTAACAAGAGGGCACATTGAGGAATGTGGACATTGGACACAAATGGAAAGGTAGGCTGATTCTCTGATTCTTAAATTAGGAGTCTTAATTATTGTTATTATTAAATATTATTAAAAAGTATTAAATTAGGCATCTCTCTATCTTAATACAACAGGATGGTCATCAGCTTCATATGATATTTATATATAGAATTCTATGATATATCATTGATAACTACATAAAATATAGCCGTCTCTTAATTTCTACTAAGTCATTTATAGTTTTTGATTTTAATATTTTGCAACTGTGCCAGAACATTTTGCATAATAACATTTGAAATGATAACACCCTGTTTGGCCATTCATAATTGAATTACTTACAAAACTATCTCTCTTATTTAGCTAATTATGGGGGGTTGTGTTTTTTTTTTTTTCAAAATCATGAGGATACTGATAAGAGCTACTCAGTTACTCATCCATCCTAGTGTTCCAAATATCAGCCTTCAGCTTGAGAGTGTTGCATCTGAGTCTGAATAATGCACCAGATGCTACTTTCTGTGTGCACTGTCTTGTAACAGGTGTTATACTCCTGTACAATCACCTTACAGTTTGCCAGTATGTTATGGCTCCTTAAATTGACTTAATACTGTAGGTGGTGGATTGTCCTTAATTTGTTGAGCAACAAGAACTTGTGCTGCATGCCTGTTTACACCTTCAGTGAGTTAGATAAGACTTTATTGACCCCGAAGGGAAATTGAGGAGTTGAATAAATTACAGACTACCTGGTATTTGTGCTACCTGTCTGTAGGATGCTGATACGCCACACTGATCGATGTTTCTCATAAGGCTTTCTTTGTATTTTTCGGTTTAGAGTAGACAAGTACTTTGGGGGGGTTTCTGGTGGAAGCAGCAGCATCTCCCAAAATTTTAGGAAAATCTGTTTAAACAGCTAAGCCAGTAACCAGCTGGTTTAGCTCGTTAAGAGCCAAGTTGGAATGGAAACCGTCTAACACACTGGCCCTCTGGAAAAAGGATTTCATATCTCAGCTCTAAGTGGTAGGTTTCTCATTACTGTTTTTGTACAGTTAGTACAGTATGTAGGTTTGTTCATTCAGCCTATCTGCAACATACTAAGGGCTGCAAATAACACTTTATAACTGTGTAATGGATTATGAACAGGAGTCAGTTCCTACCATAGTTTTAAAATTATATTAATGTTTAGTTAATTTATCACAGATAATGAATAGTTTATTAATGGAATTAGCATTTTCTCCTGATTTTGCAGGGTAAGACATAAAAGTGTTAATATTCTGTTTGGATTCTGTTTAGATAAATATTAATATTCTTAAAGCTTTTCCACTTTATGCTATACATAAAAATGGATCTAATTCCATAGAATCTTTTACAGAGAGTTGCTTCATCCGTGTAATTAAATTATTGTATTCTCCATCTGTTTTTTGTTTGTCTCTTTGTGGGCGCACTTTCACAAATTAATTAAAAACACATCTTATTTGAGGTCATGACATGCAGCACAGATGGTTTACAAATTGCAAAATAACATTTTAAAATGTACATTTTACATAGCGGCACCTAACAGTGATGATAGATATGCTAACTACTTTTATTGTTGAAGTGACAGTCAAAAGAGAGTGAAGATGTTCATCTGGTTTAAATACAAGTAAAGATATCTGCTTTCAAATTAATCTTTTTTTGTCAAAATTATAACCGAATAACTTAAAAAGACAATAAAAAATAACACAATTGCACTACAAGCACATTGTGCATACAGTCTGTCTCCTTTTTTCACTGTAAACTAAAATAATTTTCACAATAGGATCTCTTATATGTCTATTCAGAGTGCTTAAAACTAAAAGAACCAGGCCAATCTGTCAGTGACACTAGTGACAGGTATAAATTGTCCTTCCTTTCACAGTGACTCATTTAACAGTCAGAGCAGTGTGAGGAATAATTTCCAATCATGGGTGCAGCACCATCAATCATGTTTCACTGTGACACCTGGAGAAAGAATCCTTATTTCCAACTGCCTTATCAAAGGCTTCATACCAAAACCCATTTAATAAACAGGACCAGGCAGCACTGACCTTGCCAAAAGGGAAAAATATTAATCTAAACACAAACGTATTCAGATTTCACCATACCCCTGCAAAACAGTTTTGTGAGCTCAATAGAAAGTTTTCCAAAATCCTGCAAGAACCTGATAATCTTGCCTTTTCCTCTTCAAAAGCTACATACTGTACCTATATACAATAGATTTCATTAGCTTGGAACAAAAAAAATTGTATGATTTGGTATGAAGAATGAGTTTAGATTCCAGTCATTCCTCTACTTCAGACATGGGTCGTATTGAATGTATATTCAAGTTCATGCATATTCAGTGGAAGGTGTTGGGCTGTTTTTTAACAAACATTTAAACAATAGTTTTAGATCACCATTGTGTGAATGTGAATTCTCTTTTGTTCACACATTTTCTTCATGAGCAGAATACAATATGTATAGAAGTACTAACCTTCTTACAACGATGTCCCATTTTTAGTAAATTATATGTACAGTATCAATATATACTATATCTATTTTTAAAGTGAATATTTCTAATCAAAACATAATCATAGACCAGTAGACGGCTCTACCAGAGAAATAGGACTGAATCATAACCCTATAAAAGTACGCAGGACAAAATCTCACAATGACACAAGCACATACTGTATTATTAATTGATCAAATTAAGCATATTTTTTAATGAAAGACTAGCAGAGTTTTACAAATTATCAATCATTATTTATTAATAAAAAAATGATGGCAAACAAAATAATAAATACATTTATTAATCATTAAAAAGACATTAGATACAAATTTTCATGTCAGTTCTGTGCCTTTTGACATGTACACATTTATCAGGTTGCTTTTAAAGGATTCATTTCCACCACCAAAATGGAGGTCAAGGTCAATGACCTCCTGGATGTCCACAGACACTATTGGCCTCTGAATTTCACACGAGATCCCTGTTCTTTAAACCTACTGTATGACTGATGTTAGTATCTGTTTGGTACAATTCCAGTGCACTTTCCTGAAACTAATTCTGTGAATTTCTAGCGAAGTGAGACATTTCTTTGGGTGCCCAGTCTATATAATTTATATAATCAGGTTGATAGATGTGTCAGCATGCGTAGGCTGCGAAGGAACAAGTAATAGGTTTATTGCATGCTGAAAAGAGAAGAAAGAAAACAACGTTTTGTCCGTGTCACACAACTAAAGAGGGCTCCATGGCCGAAACGTTGTGTTTTCTTTCTTCTCTTTTCATCATGGAATAAACCTATTGCTAATAAATATAATGTCTTCTTTTGCTTAAAAAAGAGGAATTGCAAAAAGAAAAGGTAGTCAAAGTCACCCTTCTTGTGGATCTCTTCCCATTTAGTTTGCAGAATGTGCTCCATGTTAAAATATGCATAAGGTTATATATGAGCCTCTTGCTCTGTATCTTATTTGAGTGTTAACTCTGTGACAGTGATACTTGAACTGCAATAGTCTCTATATTGGCCATATATCATTGCTGAATTTGACTGTATTTCTCATTCTTCAGGTTCTCCTGTCACATTTCTTAGTTTGTGTGAAGAAGTATATCAAACAACATTCCGTGTGAGTTTATAATCAATCTGGATATTTTTCATATGTATCTCAGTACTTATACTTAAAAAAACGAAATCTTAATCCTTTGTTATCCTTTCAGTTTGAATAAGGCACATGTCTCATTTTTATTAACGATGAAGCAGATTGGCAACTTTAAAAAAGGTACAGAAAGGATCAAGAATTATAATGACATCTTCTGTTTGATCACTTCAATATCCGAGAGGGGGAAATAATGCAGAATGCCATCACGAACAAGGGTTGTTTATTGCCTTTTAGAAAAGGCACTCCATGACTAACAACACATTCATGTCGTTATCCAGAGCACGTCAAAGCGTTTTTCAAGGGACTTGATGGATTAAGATAAATTATGTATAGTGGAATGGAAGAAACAGTTTTAAAGGCTAGTGCTAGGCCTTAAAATGAATATGTTAACGTACATTGTCTATTTACCTATTTTTGTTCTAGTCAAGACCTAAAGACCAATTATTCATAGAAGCCTTATAAACCTTGTACACAGAACAGAAGCTTTTTCTCTCATCTTCCAAGTTGTGTGAGAAAGCAGGAAGTCAGACAATTTAAACTTTCAGGTTCAGCACATCAAATGTCAGATGGATTTAGAGGCATTTCTAATGGAACTTTACATCTCTCTAGAAATGTTAATAAATCCAGCTTTATTTCATATGTTTGCATGCTTTGTCATCGTAAGATCATGTGTTTTTGATTTGGAACGCTTGAGTCAAAGTATTGTTTTAAAAATAAAAACCTTTCATTTTTAGCAAGTACTTTCAAAACCACAGGGTTTAATCTGGAATATGATTACAGTCCTTAATGTGAAGGGTACAATCAGTCTTTTGATATAAATATGATTACTGTATTTCCACAGCCTTTGGTCCTCTGAAAAAATCTGATTAATATGACAATTATCACAACAATTAAATAATTTCAGAATAGCAGTGAGGTTCATTTAATATACAGTATGCCAAGGAATATCTGGGACAGAAAAGTTTTTGATGGTATCCACACAGAGCTAAATTTGTGAAACAAAGGGAAAAATTTAAATAAAACAGCTTCGGTACAATTTATGTATTTACACTAGTTACCCTTTCTATGAATTTGTTAAAATAATGTTTTATTTGAACACATGGTAACATTGATCTTCTTTTTAATTTTAAAAGACTGAGCTGTTACTTTTTAATTTTAAAATGCGTGTACATAGGGAAGGCTTTATTAGCAATAGAAGTCTTTTACTTCACTTTAAGCCAAATGAGAATACAGTAAAGTCTAGTCAAATTTATATCAAATATCAAATACCAATATTGCACATTTGAATTAAAATTTAACATGCTTTCTAGCCACTAGTACAATAATGATTAAGAACCAGGCATAACCTTTATAGTTCATAAATGTTAACTTTTCCTGTAGTTTAA